ATATATATATATGTATATATATATACATATATACACGTGTATGTATTCGCATAACATTACTGCTAATTCTTTTCCTCTTTCTTTTTCTCGTAAGTCACGTTCGCTCGAGAATAAGAAAGTTTCATACGAAGTATCTGTATGTTACTTCACGATTATCTACGATTACGTAGTATTAACCTGAGGTTAACTTTTTTTTGCTTCTATGAACTTTGTGATATCGATAACTTCCTAATAATCGACGTTAGCTAAGTCGCTGTATCAGTTTTATAATCTTTCTTTTATTCTGTAACATATATTCATAGTGCGGCCATGAAGTTATGTTTGCTAAAGTAATATGTATTCATCGAACAAACCGAGGGAACTATTAAGATAAGACTAGACGATAATATGCTGAGAGCTCTTGTCGTAGAGTCGAGGGGCGATTTGGCGTACGTGCGAAGTGTTACAAACTATCATCTCACGTGGGAACCATAAAAAATAATAGCAAAATCGTTTTTTCGGTTTCAGAAGAATCTCTGATGAAACGAATTTTTGATCATCACGACCAAATCCCCAAAACGGAGGTTTACGAAAAAAAAGAATTTTGTCGTTATGTTGTAATAGTGTTTGAGGAGACAGGTTGTTAACGCTTCGTATGTATAGTATACTGTTACATCGACCCCATTCCCTCTCCCGTAAAATATCTTTTCAGCAGACATCACAGTAATTCTTCTAAATTATCTTTTTCGTTTACGACTTGAGAATAAGTTCACTCACCAGAAATGCCTTCTAACGACGAGCATGGAACATGAAATTTGAAAGTATATTATATCTGCAAGTATTAATGATGAGTTAACACGTTGCAGTTTCTTTTCGATTTCTCATGTTTCCGGCTCTCACTCTTACGCACCTATCAGTTTACAAATATGTATTGGTTTATGATATATTTGTCACAATAGAAGTTACGCACAAGTAAACTTACGTGCTGTTCAGAAATTTTTAGTTTGCGACACTGTAAATATAACGTTTCAGCACTACTGTCGTGAGACTTGCCTCTCCGACGACAGTAATTGCTCGATAGTGCGTCCGTTTTACGGTTTGACGGTCGATATCTTGTACATAGCGGTGTATCGCACTAAACTGCAATCAGTCTCTCGCTTAGGACATTGTGAAAAAAAGAAGAGACAAGCATAAGCGAGAATAATAATGATTATGCCATTGCGGAGCATAAGTAAAATAAAATTGCACTCGCTGAGAGATCCCAGAAGCGTGTCTTTGTACATATAAATGTAACGATTTAAGGGTCGTCAAAGAATTTTTATAATGTGATTCCAGTTACGCGCGCTAAGTTAGAGGTGGAATTGTACAAAAAGATATGAAAGTGGGAGGTATGCAGATACGAATGATCGAGATACAGAGAGAAAGAGAGACAAATGTACGAAGCTTTCGCTAGAATAAATCGACACGATGCCGCCATTCCTCAAATATATATAAACCAGACTTGCCTTAAAGCTAGAAGGATAACACATATATATCCATATATATGGACATAACTGACCCTTCCAGCTCCGAGGCACGAAAATGACGAATGATATCCGAAGTTCTAGTCAGATAATAAATGTTTATAAAAAGTATACGAAAAACGAGGAGTTTGGTATTTTACTTATTTGGACGAGAGAGTTCGGTTGGAAGGCCAAATTTTATTTATCACCATTATCGAGAAATGCATCTTCAAGATTATCGTACACAGTTAAAATTCTCTTTACAATAGATAATATATAAAACGTATATGATATATACACACACGAGAAGAGACGGACAAATGCATTAAACATCGTTACCATTCGATATTGACAACGATTACATTCAAAACGGAAGGTCAAATAATCGGTAACATGTAAAGAGTATAAATGTAAATTCTCAGTCTCTCTATTATTAATATACACATAAATTATTATTATTAATTATATAATTCTTTTTTGCAAAGAAGCTGTATACTGATCCGTCTCCTTGTCTCATCCACCATTTTTTACCAAAATATACATGCATTCTTTCACAATAACGTGCACTATATCCAGTGTGATTTCTATTACCTCTTTTTTTTCTATTTTTTCTGTTTTTAAAGTATGTTTAACTTTGGTAAGACATATGTGTTATCTCTGATATGAGATTGTTGTACATATCACATTCGAAAGCCTAGATTCTCAGAAGCACCACCAATAAGTTAGCGAAATAATCTTATTTCTGGAAGTATTAGAGAGAAGAAGCTTATATAAGATTAAAAAATAATAATACGAATAGTAAGATATATCGGAAAGAAAAAAATATCAGCTTATAACGAATTCTCGAGCAGCCGTCGTATTGCTTAAACGTTCGACAGCTATTACGCTATTAAGTTTGTTAATATCAACTTGGAATCTGGTAGACCATCGATGAGATAATGAGGGGAATTGGACATGGAGGCGAGATCAGCCTCGAATAGCGTCAACTGCAGCTCCTTCCGTGCCTTCTGTACAATATATACCATTAATGAGACTCCGATTAATATCTGCAAGAAAACAAAGAGATCATTATTTCATTATCACACGTTCCACTCGCTCCTGACTTGAAAGGAACTAACGAGAACACTGTGTACCTGAAAGCAAAAGACTATGTAGCCAGTTGCTGCTGTGGATCTATCTTCTAACACATCCTGCATGGATCTCAAACTGCTGCCAAGGTAGACGTTAACCAGCTGAGCAGGCAGTAAGCCTATCGCACTGGCTATGTGGTAATGAAAACCACCTATGTTACTGACCTAATCGCGTGCATACAGACATACATGTATACATGAGTACACATTTTACAAGCACATACATATATTTGTTAGTTGCGTTAGATTGATGCAAAAGGCTTGTTCTGTTTATCAAATAAAAAACAGGATTTTATTCTATCAATAAAATAGTATTATTACCATTTAGGATGCTAATATTTTTTCATTAAAAAAGTAATTTTTTTTCTAAAAAATTGTTCTATATAAGTGACATACACATGCCGCAGAATCTTGAGATTTATGTAGAGTCACAAAAATGGCTTTCCCGGCAGTCTAAAGGTTAAATAAAGAAAAAATTATCCACTTTTGAGGAATTAATAATTTGTACGAATAATATTAACAACTTTGAGACTTGATGTTTAGGAATTTAAAGACTTCTTCCTTTCTCTATTTTTCTTTAAATTTTGTTATCCTCCTAATTCTTTTACTTTTTCAATCTATTTATCTTGTGACAATTTGATAGGAAAACAACAAATCTTTTGCACCAACCAAATATATGGGGTGTCTGACAATCTATGACACAACTGCTGTATATAGGTAGAACTCATTGAACTTGACATAAAATTCTTCCATCAGAGTAGCCTTCATAGCAGAGTAATCATTATATAAAATCTTGAGTTGTTAACGAAAATTGATGCATTATAAATATGAATGTACATAGATCAGTTTATATAGGGAATCATCTTCAATGAGTAACTAAAAATCTACATAACCATTTGTAAAGTGGTAGAGAACTTTTTTGTTCAGTCTGACTTAATTTTATTAACTCAAAATTTTATGTGGTTGTTTGCGAAATGGTGAAATTTTACATTCAGTTACCAAGTTCTATCTGCACAAACAAATACGTCGATTATTGTCGAACACTCTGTACATACAAAATACACTTGCAGCTCGTGAGTAAAATCGTTATAAAGCATATACCGCAAAAATGGTATTCTGAAGACCAAAGGGAATGGGCGTCAGTCGCGCAAACAGCACGATCTTGAAAGCCTGAGGCCCAGAGATAACTCGTAGTATTGCTCTGGCTGTGTCGCTCTGCAGGAGAGCGCCTATGGGCAGCTTGGTAGAGAGCAGGCCCAAGGTAACGTGAGCTATAGCTATGCCGAGATTGGCGGATAGTATCACAATCGTCATGCCGCGCACCACGCCGAACAGGTAGCCGCTGGCGACGATGAGGAATAGATAACCGATCACGATTGGAAACGATACCACCGTGAACAGGGCTACGAAGATCACGATGATGATCCAGGCATTCTGATGCTCGATCCAGTACAGGAGCACTCTGATGTAGTCCCGACAAACGAAGACTATCGTGCCGAGGAAGGCCAGAGTCGCGATAGTGATCGCCACGTAGCATATCGAGTTAGAGCTGATACAGTTGAACGGTATCGCCGAACTCTTGGAAGAACGCATTCCAGTCTCCACGTCGTCTATGTTAATGATATCCATGTTTACCCGATCTTTTCGAATGTCTATGGCGCGTCAACGAGCCGCCTCTTGGCAGTAACGTGCTTGAAAGCGAATAACGGTCGATAAAGTCACGAAAAATTGTCAAATTGTTACCTCGAGCGTAATGTTCGCGAAACACACGAGGTTAAGCGACTAGGTTGACAGTATTCTTTCTTTTACCTTGCGACATACACACGTCGGTCGGCCACGCGATTAACTTTTCCCCTTGGCCCATAATTATTCGGAACGTGTTTGCTCGCGAGTAACGTAAGTCATAAAACCTCGCTTGTCAGACGCATTATTCGACGACATGTCGCTCTGTAACAAGAAAGAGATCCGATGGAGATATCAAAAGGTTACGTACGCGACACCGTTATGCGGAAACGTGCAGCTTCGCGCAAATACATTACCCCGGTTGCGCGCGTGACGTTCTCGTCAATCATTAATATTCCTCGCGTCGTAAAAAAACGTGATCCGAGACTACGATAAACTGTCAGTGCTATAGTTGTAAACAACGAGCGATCGCAAACATGATCGGCACGCGTAACAGATGATCATAAACTACGGAAGTTGGATAAGAGGGAGGGCCCTGTGCACTTTTCAAGGGCCGACACAAGCCGAGAGTAAAGCCAGCGGCGCACGATGCTTGTTTTCGCGCTGTGGTTTGCTTGCTGGATTGAAATACTTTTCTCTTGAAAAAAAAAAATGCTCTGTCTCTACAGACGATTCTCCTGATTACAAATATCATAATTATAAGGTGTTTTCCGTATTTTAAAAAACGAAACAATCTTTCGTAGGTGTCCACGAGAGGTCTCCACAGTCCCTCCTGGCAGCCTCTAATACTTCAGTAAGAGCACTGCAGATGGCATCACCGTGACGAATGCGCGCAACTCGATATAAATATATCGGCAACTTCACACTTCTGCGTGTACGGGTACTCACAATTGTTTTATTTGAGAAAATTCAATGGCGACGCTCCCGCTTAAAGATCAAACATTTAAGTTACGCATATATCTTATCCTATTTGATTTGCATGTATCTCTTGAAAATATAAGACTGCACCATCCCCCCGCAGGCCTGACGTCTAATTTAAAATGGTCTCGCACGAGAGTAACACAAAACGCATATTATGACATTGAAAACATTTTATTCAGTCAGTAAGAAGCATTCTACATGATGATAATAATAATCATAGTATAATCCGTGACAATAATAATAATAGATAATCATAATAATTCATTCGTAATAACCACTTTGTAAATGTACAGGTAAACTCTTTCTCTCCTCTCTCTATTACTCGCGCGCTCTCCGTTCTCTCAATCGCTCTCGCTCACACGTTGAATTGTCATATTTTTTTTTTTTATTAGTATACATAAAATTACACAAAAATTTCACCGATATAAAAATCAAACATCGTACATCCTCACAAGACTATGAATGTAGTCAATAAATCAATCCTATCTCGTCTCTCTCTCTCTCTTTCTCTCTCGTCTTTCTCCCTCTCTTTGCTGCAAAGATATCTTGATACTTCTTTCTTTTTTTTTGCAGTTCGGCATTCGGCAGCGTTGTTGGATTTGAAGGACTACTTTTAAAGCCCGTAGCAGCGGCCACGCTCGCATCTCTTTTCTATATATATATTTATTTATTTATTTGTACACTTCAACTAGGTCTTTTTCTCCTCTCTCTCTCTCTCTCTTTCATTCTGACACTCTTCCTTTCTTTCTTTCTTTCTTTAATACAGGTAGGCAAGAACTCGTATCCGGAGACGAATAAATCCGCTCCTCAACGAAGCTCTAATTAAAAATGTTCCATGAAAAGAATCTCAGTGGCCGGTCGGTGTTGAATTGCAAAACAGAAAGGAGACTGCGTTTACGATGACGCGAGCGAGACCGCCGCGGTGATTCCATTACTGTAAATCCATATTTCTATTGATTTGAGGTAGTGTATTCAATGTAATCCTATTACCTTGCTGCTATATGTTGCGTGTGGATATGTGTATCGTATGAATACTCCTTCACACCTACGCACTGCGACCGCGAGCCCAAAACGCGCGCGCGCGTGTGTGTGTATGTGTGCGTACACGTGCATGCCGCGAGAAAAACAGCGAATACAAACTATCGTAGAGGCCTCGTAGAGCGAGATCGAGTAAACGTTCAATGTTTCTATTGCAAAATATTCTATTATACGGGAGGTCGCCCCGTACACGGCAGTAAATCGAAACTTCGTGGAGATATTTGTGTTGTAATATAAAAAACACTTATCGGTAACAGCTCTGTCCATTCGGAGAAAGTTTTGGGCTCGCCGGCTGCGTCGCTCGTAGGTGTGTTTCAAAAATTATCGTCTATGCGTGGAGTATGAGGAAGGCCGAATGTCGGACGGATTCTGTGTGCGTGTGTGCATGCGTATGTATATGTGTGTATGTGTGTATGCGTGTGTTAGGACAACGTCTCGATATCGAAAAAATTGCGTTGTCGCGCAGCATCGCGATGGACGAGGGGCGTTCATTAGTGTCGTTCGAGTCAGCGATCGATGATCCGTCCGCGATTCGGCGTTTTCATAAACTTCATCTTTTTTTTTTCTTTTACCAAATACGACAAGGCTGCTGACATTAGGCTTGCTAGCACTTGTAAATAATGCCCAGCGATTGTGCTATTTTGTTAAGTTCTCTTTAACTATTATTTCATGAATAATTTATCACATTTTTTAGTTTTTCATCTTCTTCTTCTTTTTTTTTTTTTTCTTTAAATCGTCCTCACAGATTGCGAAAAGAGGGGGCGCGTGTGACATCGTCGCCGCGCCAAGTTGGCTCAATCTATGAACACTTCTGTAAAAAATATAATATCTATGGATGGTTGAGCCCCCGGCCAGCATACAGCGAATTAGTTTACTCCTTTGAAGGTAATGCGGGATCACTTCTGCATGTATGAGCAATGGCTACTAACATATACGTATCTAACGCACTCGATCTGCATAGAACAATTGTCGCCCTTCTCCTTCGCGCTTATTCGACTCTTTCACTACATTAGAAAGGAACATTTCACTGGGACGCCTCCGACACGAGAGGCGCACCCACATTTTAACAACGTTAAAAAAATCCAACCTATTTAAGCACGGGGGAACCGAGCCGAAGACGACGACGACGTCGTCGTCGTCGTCGATGATGATGATGATGACGACAGCGGCGACGGCAACGATCCCGGTTCCCGCGCGCGGTTTGATTGTACAAATATCTTATTTATCGTTGCAGAAGTGATTTTCGCCCTAGTCTTCGTTCATCGGTTTATATCCGTTATATATGATATGTGACAGGCTCCCCCTCCCCGAGAAAAACAAACGCAGTCAATTGAAATCAAATTCGAGAAATTGACGACAATTTTGAATTTTGACACGCTCGTGTTATCCTTATATTACCATCAATATAAGTTTAACGACTCAACCCAAGAGTTATACACCTAATAATTACGTTTAAACGAAAACAACAGATACAATGCACAAGCACATTGTAAATAAAAAAGTAAGGAAACCGAGAAATGAGACTTAACGTAAAAACATGACTCACATCGAGATATAATAGCCTCAACAGTTTCACCAGGGGAAAAACACAAACGAAACATACGTATAATAGTAAAACTAGTAACTACTTCACTACCTCTAAGACAGCGAGAAAATCCTAAGACATGCGATATCGCACGACGAAGTTATCGTTTTTGCTTTTCTTTTTTTTTTTTACTTTTTTACTTTTCTCTTAGTTAATTTTTCCTTCGGAAGTTGCGCCGAGTGCGTGCAGTTCTAGAGAATGTTCTTCGTCTTATCTTACTTATTTTTTTTTCGTTTTTTGTTTTCTGAATCCCGAGTTTTCTAACTTCTGCGGTTCCTCCCCTTTTCTTTTTTTTGGAATGTCTTGTGATTTTTACGCTTCTGTTAACAATTAATTCAATATCGTCTCTCCCGCTATGTTTACCAATCTTCTCTTCCCTTCCTCATTTCCTCCATCCTCTTTTTCCTCTTTTCCCTATATAGCTGGAGAATATTTCAAAATAAAGCAGAAAAATGTTCTGCTTTCAACTTTTACGTGTAATTCACAATTTTCGATCTTGGAGCCGTGATCCGCCAACTCGATCCTAACGTGTTTAATATAATTACGCTATGCGACACATTAATTTCCGTTTTGTTTAAGCTCGTGTGTGCCCGTTCACGACATCTCGTTACCGCGTCTTTCATCTCGAAAGAGTGAACCGTCCTCACGTTCGGCGGACCGTGCGGACTCCGCAGATCAAAATTGATCTTTCAGACAACAGTTAAAGATTAAAATCATTATTAACTATAATTATCAATTACACGACCATTAGTATGTCTTATACAGTAATAAATTACCATCGTGCTATTTTTACTCCACCGTCGACACGTTGTCTTCTTTTTTTTCTTTTTAATTACTAAGATGTTACGAGTTATTTAGCTTAACTTAGCAACGAGTATTAGTGGCATCTGCTTTTGTCGAGAAGAAGTCAGAAGTAAATTTTTTTTCTTTTTTGCCTTTTACCTTAATCGTTAATGCTGTATGAAACTGGGCTCTCGCGTCGTCCCAAAGCCATCTTAGTGATGCCGTTTTTTCTTGAAACCTGCACAAATGGAAGATTTTTTACAATTAGCGGCAATCTCGACAGAGAGAGAAGCGATCGTCGGAGAAGCTGTGGAAGAATCACTCACTCTTTTTAGCTTTGCCTTTTTTCTGAGCTTTTCTCTTTTTAGCAGACTTGGCAGATGACTCCCCGAAAGTGGTGATCTCGTCGCCGAGAGTGCCTAAAGTCGTCATCTGACGACGCCTGTGTTTCTCTTGCTTAGTCACCGGCAGGCGCGTCATGTAATTTTCCTCATACTCGATTTTCCGCTTATTCTCGCGTCCCAGAATCGCTTGCTTCTCGCTCAAGCCTTGGCTATCTTCCACAGGCGCGTCCAGATATTCTTCCTTCAGCTCCCGTAGAACTGTGTTAGACACGGCGCGTCTGCGAGCTCTCTCGCCGGCTTTGCGAATTTTCTCCGCCATTGTCTCATCACCGTCTGGAATTGCAGTGTATGTTTTAGCTTAATGTGTAAACATCGAAAGTAAACTGAATAAAGAAAATAAACAAAACTGTATAGCGCAACTCTGAGTAATAAGTCTGTTCTTTTTAGCTAAATCAGAATACAGTTTTGATCCTTAGAATAAAGCAAGTATATAATTCAGCGTTGAAGGGAAAAGAAGTAAAGTTTTAGTTTAGCTAAAAAGAACAAGCCTAATGTTAAATATTCTTGAATGTACAATGATATATAATGGTGTTTCACTGTGGCAAATATTTTTGTATAATTTTAAACACTTTAGTTTAAGTAAACAAATTCTTTCAATGATCTTGTATGCTCAATAACGAATAATTTAAGTACTCTGTGTGTGTGTGTGTATGCGTGCGTATGTGTGTGTGTGTGTATGCATGTGTGTGTGTATGTGAAGGATGTAGTGAATCTATCCAGTTGAAAATTTCAACTAAAATTATCATCGGAGAGTCCAAAAACTGACCATAATGTACTGCAACGAGTTTGGGTGGCACATAGACATTCGACTTCCTAGGCTGTGTTGACTTAAAGCCTTCTGTCTCCTCCTCCTGCTCGCTGTCAGACTCCTCATTGCAGCTGTCCAGCTTGGCGACCAAGGCGTCAGGATTGGCTTTGAAGTTGCTGGGATCATCGCTGTTAATGGTACCAGTTACAGCAGTCTTGACAAGCTTATCTATTTGGTACTTAAGCTTGTGATCTATTGGTCGGATTTTCTCCAGGACGGTCCTGATCTCGATCAGACGATCGATTGAAGGATCATCCTCGACGCGTTCCCCGGAACACTTTCTCAGCACCACGTAGGTCAGGTTTATAAGATAGGAGAGCAACATGTGATATTTCATCTCCAAGAAACTGAGACCTTTGTCCGTGGAGATCTCGCCGTTTTTCACGCGGACCAGCATATTATCCACCAGCTGGTTCACCTGCAGGACATTGGCGTTCATCTCCCCCAGCAGACGGAACGCCTGTGGCAGATCCCTCTGCTCCATCTCATCGATAGCCTGCGAACACACGACGTCGTCGGTCAGGACGAATTTAATTCCGAATTCAC